TACATGACTTTACTGCGTGCAGCACATGTACCAGAGTACGAGTGGATGCGCGCGTGCAGCGCTCACAGCGAGTTGCTCATGCTCCGGATACACACTACACGCGTAGACTCTACCCGGTAGATCTACCTGATGTACTCTCTAGATCTATTGTATGACACGCGGCTCTTTTCTCTGCACCGTACACTGATTCGTACCCGCGAACTTTCGTTCCGGTTGCTTCACGGAACTCACTATTCTGGACAAGTAGCCTTCAGAATCAGTTTGTGCCTGTGCGACGGTCGATGTTTCCTTTATTTTTGTTCTCTTCGAAGTTCCAAAATTGATTGTAGTTGATGCAAAATGGTGAGTTTTTTCGTCAGTGGTGCTTAATCGATAATAATCGATAAGTAATCGATAAGTTTTGGATTAACCGTTAAGGAATATCCCTTAATCATTTCACCCCTAGTGGGTGCACATCCAGTGCATTTGCAGATTTGCGTGCTTCTCTTGCGACGGGCGTATACATGGTACATGGTACATGGTGTGTGTGTGTGTGTGTGTGTGTGTGTGTGTTTGTGTGTGTGTGTGTGTGTGTGTGTGTGTGTGTGTGTGTGTGTGTGTGTGTGTGTGAGAGGGGGCGTGTAGAGGTCTTGCAAACCCTCGCCCAGAGTCTTTCCACTCGCGTGCACCAGCGGCTCGAAAGGTTGTTCTGTCTCTGGGAACGTGGAACGTCAGGACTCTTGTCGACACTGACGGAAATTTGAATACGGCGTCCAAAGCAAAAAAATCAAGGAAAGTTTGTTAGAATATTCGCGAGGAGAGAAAAATTGACCTTGTGTGTCGTCAGCTCAAAAAGTATGGAATGGACATCGTTGGCCTCCAGGAGACGCTTTGGTTTGGCTCTCATCAATATACTGTCGGAGATTGCTTAGTTTTGACAAGTGGTCGCCCAACACCGACTGGGGATGAGCCTGCTCGTCGTGGTGAAGGGGTTGCTGTCGTTTTGCGAGGCAGATGCAGGGAGGCATTTGAACGCGGAGGCTCTCGCTGGACGGCGGTCAGCTCCAGACTCCTGTCATCGCAGGTAAAATTCGTATGTGGTCGGAATCAATCTGTGTCTTGCCTGCACTTTGCTGTGGCGTATGCCCCCACGTTTGTCAGGCCCCGTGAGGAGAAAACTCAATTCTACGCAGATGTCCAGTCCTTCATTGACAGTATTCCCAGGAACGATCAATTCGTCCTTCTTGGTGACTTCAACGCCCGTGTTGGCAGTGCTGGTGCGGATGGTGACTGGTCAAGTGTCAGGGGCCCTCATGGTTTTGGTCGAATGAACTCAGCTGGAGAGGATTTGCTCAATTTCTTGTCCAGAAATGGTGCCCTCATATGTAACACGTGGTTTCGGAAGAATGATGTTCATAAGCATACCTGGTTTCATCCTCGATACAAACAGCCTCACTGCATTGACTACTGCATCATTCCTCAGAGCCGACGCTCCCAGTGTATTGATTGCCAAGTCATCCGGTCTGCGGAATGTGATACCGATCATAAATTCTTGGCTATGAAATTGCGCCTGGCAGAGAATCCCTGTTTCCATCGTACCCGTGCTGTCATCAGAAAACCCATTGCTGTGTCCAAGCTGTTGTGCAAGCCTGGCGGAGATGACGAACCGGACACTCGTAAGGTCTTTCGCGGCATGCTGGATGCAGAGTTGGAGGGAGCCTGGTCGCATGAGCCATCCTTGGATGACTGGTGGACTACCATCAAGACAACAACTATCAAGGTTGCAGAGGATTGCTTGGGCAGAGAGAGCCGTAGACAGCCGGAGTGGTTTCGGGATAGTCAGGCAGAGCTTGAACCTTTCCTACTGGAGAGGGATCGGCTGTTTGCTGTTTGGGTGTCTACACGCAAAGTCAGTGATTGCAATGCCTATAAGTGTGCCCGCAGCTCCGCGCGGAGGGAAGTCAGACGCGTCAAGCAGGAATGGCTACTCAACAAGGCCCAGGATTGCAAACGTTTCAGCCTCACGTCCAAGGGTGGCTGGGAGTGCATCAGACACATCCAGGCTGCGTTTCAGGGACTAAAACCGAAGGTCACAACAGCGATCAAGAATTCAATGGGACAGGTTTGTGACACCCCCGAGGCCACGAACATGCGGTGGCGGGAGCACTTTGGGAGAGTTCTCAATATCGTCAGCGACTTTGACGTGGAAACCCTCGACTCTATTGACCAGCGTCCGGTCTTGGGGGAGCTTGCGGATGTTCCCGACCGTGTGGAGATCCGTAAGGCCATGCAAGCACTGAAGAATGGCAAAGCTTGTGGTAGCTCTGAAGTCTTTGCCGAGATGCTGAAGTATGGTGGTCCTGTTCTACTGGGTAAGCTGCAGGCATTGCTGGAGGAGGTATGGCGAGCTGGTCGGGTACCGCAGGATTGGGTGGATGCCATCCTGGTCCCTATCCCCAAGAAGGGTGATCTGAGTCTGACTGATAACTGGCGCGGGATTGCCCTTCTCGACGTGGTTGGCAAGCTTGCTGCACGGCTTATAGCGGACCGTCTGCAGCGTGTTGGGGAACAGTATCTACCTGATTCTCAGTGCGGTTTTCGCAGAGGCAGGGGCTGCTCGGATATGGTATTCTCTGTTCGGCAAGTCGCGGAGAAGTTGCATGAGCATTCTTCCAAGGGATTCGCAGTATTCATTGACCTCCGAAAGGCCTATGACTCGGTGCCGCGGGCCGCCTTGTGGAGGGTGCTTGCAAAGCTTGGCGTACCAGAGGTGCTGGTTTCCGTAATTCGATCGTTCCATGTCGACATGTCAGCATCTATACGCATTGGTGGCGAGCTGTTGGAGCCGATTGCGGTGGGGAACGGACTGCGTCAAGGATGCACCATGGCCCCGATTCTTTTCAATTTGTACATGCTTGCTGTTGTCGAGAAATGGCATGAGGCAATAGCTGGTGACGACGAGATTGGACTATCAATTTGTCAGTTTCGTCAGGACAGACTGTTCAACACGCGTCTCCGAGCATACACCAGGGCTCCGCTGACGGAATGCCAGTTTGCGGATGACTCTGCACTTCTTGCCAAGACTCACCCCGGTGCAGAGAGAGCACTCGCTGGGTTTGAGACTAATGCTTCTGCCTTTGGGCTCAAGGTTAACATGGCCAAGACAATGTTCATGGCTATTGGGACTGGGGTGGTGAACGAGGACATGGCACCTTTAAACGGCACGGTGGAGCACGTGCACTCCTTTCGTTATCTTGGATGCCATGTGACACCGGATGCCAGGTGTACCTATGATGTGTCGCGTAGAATTGCTGCTGCATCGGGCGCTTTCCACAGTTTGAAGGATGCAGTGTTCTACAACTCGGACTTCACCATCGGCATCAAGCGTGTAGTCTATGGCGTCACTGTTCTGGCTGTCCTCCTGTATGGTTCTGAGACTTGGACAACACGGCAAAGGGACCTGCAGCGGCTTGACGTGTTTCACCATCAGTGCTTGAGGATGATCTTGCACATCGGTCGTGCACGCCAGATTGATGAGCACATCTCCAATTTGCAGGTGCGGAAATGGTGGGGCGACTTGGAGCAGCCGGCTGACAAGATTCGCAGGCGGCGGCTGCAGTGGCTGGGCCATATGGCACGTATGCCGAGGGGCGACCGCATCCCTCGTCAGCTGTTGTTTGGCTCCTTGCCATCGAAGCGCCCACCCCATGGTCCGAGGAAGCGATGGAAGGACGTGGTGCGGACCGACCTGGCGGCAATTGGCATTGAGCCCAATTCCTGGCTCGACGTGGCAAGTAATTGCCGTGAGTGGAAGTCCCAGTGCCTTGATGGGGTGGATCGTATTGTACTTGCCCGTCAAGAGCCTGTCGACAAGCCTCTGCTTTGCGGTGTGTGCAACCGCAGTTTCCGCCGCCGTCAGGATATCGCACGGCATCGTTGTACATCGCGGCGTTCAATAGCAATTATGACCCGTGGGAATGCGCCGTCGCGTCAGTCGTTGGGTCCTGGTGCCGCTTCCCGGAGACAGCGCTAATCCAAGAGCTGCCCCGTATGGGGCCACTTAGCCAGTCATGGCAGTGGAGAAGAAGGAAGGAAGGTGTGTGTGTGTGTGTGTGTGTGTGTGTGTGTGTGTGTGTAAATCGTGATTCCTAACGGTGTGCCTACTCGTGACAGACGACACTAGCCCGCGTTGACTTACGTCAGTTGGAGACGTGCTGGCAACCCTAGCCTCCTGGGCGATCAATTTAGTCTCCTGTTCCACACCTGTTGCCATGCCGAGCGATTCAACTGTGCATTACAACCAGAACAACAGCAGCAGCAGCAGCAGCAGCAGCAGTAACAGCATCAGTAATAGCAGCCACAGCAACAGGAACAGCAGCAGCAGCACCAGTGTCAGTTAAGTAGATGCAATAAAAACAATTTAAAACTGTTTTAAAATGGTAATAAATAAGATAAATTGTGCACTCATAACAACAGCAAAAATGAAGAAAGTCAAGTTCCATAAACGCCACATTAAACGCAATACACCTACAAACATAACGCTTGCGAAGCACGGTATTCAGACATTCCGTCTGATCGCGAGTGTATCTCCTTTTAAAGTTTAAACAATCGACGAGGAGACAATAGTCGTAAAATGGCAATAAATAAGATAAAAAAATTGCTGTTGTTATGAGTGCACAATTTATCTTATTTAGGCCACACTGAAGAAGGTCTGTGGTTCGACTCACCCGACCGACCGTATATTTTTCAGCCCGACCGTAACTTTTTTTCGGCGGGCTGTCGTGTGACTGACGTACACGTAGACGTGGACTGAACACGTCCACGTCTACGTGCTGTGCAGCGTGAGTCTGCGGACGCAGGCGGCTCCTTTTAGACTTGACTTGTAGTTGTACTGCACTCTTAGTCTGCAGTGCAGTGCAGTGAGTGGTACGACTGCTGCCTTGTGCTGGTAGTCATGGTAGTAGAGTCTACTCGATACGACCACCGGCAGACTGGCGAGACTTATTTTGAAGTGACCGTCCGGTTGAGAGTGATTGCCTCGTTCCAGATTAAGGACGGCCTTCTGTTTTGGGATGAAGGACAGACGAGATTGCACTTTCCTCGTGTATTGGGAACGATATTTCACCTGTACCGGTAAGTTGCTGCTCCATGTGTGCAAGCACAGGAAGCATCGATGGAAAAAGCCCATGTATTCGTGCACGCCGACACCAAACTAGCAATACATGTACCGGTACATTGTACAATTTGTACTTCGAAGTAGTTCCCGAACTTACTTTCAACTCGCATCGTTCTTCATTTGCTTGATGATTTGGACAGTCAGAGTCACCGCTTGAAGTTATTCTCTTCTCGTTCCAGAGCTACACAATGTTTCAAAGTATTAGCCAGTGATCCCTTTATACAACATGTATGGCATAACATTGCGTAATAATGCCGATGTACTGGGTGTCTAAAGGCAGTACAGTGTATTTACATGTACTAAAAATATATATTAAAAAAAAAAATCCGCCCGCCCGCCCGTAAAAAAAATGTCCATGTTAGTCGAACCACACACCTTCTTTAGTTTGGCCTTATTGCCATTTTACGACTATTGTCTCCTCGTCGATTGTTTAAAACTGTTTTCTTTGCAAAGGTGCCCGCCCAATGCAATTCATGTTATTTGCGTTCCCTTGTGGAATTTCCCGGCATTCAAGCACACCCACCTACCCTCCCCCCAACACACACACACACACATACATACACACACACATACACACACACACACACACACACACACACACACACACACACACACACACACACACACATGCACCCCCCCCCCCCCCACACACACACACACGCGCAAGCACACATGCACGCACACATACACACACACACACACACACACACACACACACACACACACACACACACACACACACACACACACACACACACGCACGCACACACGCATACACCGAAACACATACACACACCGAAACACACATACATACACACTCCCCCCCCCCCCCCCCCCACACACACACACCAGAACTAGACTCACCAAACTCGTCCATATTCTCCGAACTCTGCCTGGTGTCGATCTGCAGTCCCAACGGACTATCTTGCAGTCGGCCTTTCCTTATCTTCAATCGTTTGTAACACAGGATACTAACCACCACATTGGCTAGGACGAACAGGATACCGCCCAGGACGGCAATGGACAGCCAGGATCCGAAGAACGGCGTCGCCGGCGTCGCCAGCGTCGGCTGAGCTGTCGCTGACGTCACCTCGCCGACGGCCGGTGAAGTGGGCGGGACTGTCGGCTGCTGCGTGATGGCGCCTTCGCTGCCCATCGGACAGCACGCCACCTGGATCCGGTCCAGCTTCAGCGTCGTCACGGTGTTGCCGGCCGGGTTGGCAAACCATGTCAACTGCGGCACCACGCGGACGAGCACAGCGCAAAAAAACGAAAAACAAAAAAACAAAAAGCATAGAGAGGGCAGCAAGGAAACGCGGTAAGAGGTGGTCGCAACAGTATTTTGTCGTCCCCGAAACGGACGTCATTCATTTCGTACTCGGACCCCCTCCCCTCCCTCTGAAACGAACGCAGCTTGCTATGCCGGTCGAGGAAAATCGCATGCATGGACATTTGTGTAGAGCGTCGGTCGACTTGCGATTTTGGCTCGCACCCTCTTCTCCCCCCCCCCCCCCCCCCCAAGAATGACTTTCATTTCAGGGATGACAAATAACCTTTGCGACGACCCCTTAGTGTTATGTGCGGTCCCCCTGCGAATTAACAGACATTCTTTTAAAAGTTGCATCCTTGCACGCACTCAAAAGCAACCAGAGACTGACAAGTCCACGTAGGTTTTTGGTTAGGTAAAACAATCACAACAACAGCAATCAATCAATCAATCCCAGCACGCCAGTGTGGACTCCGAGACCCACGGTTGGACCTGCCCAATGAGAGAAAACACACATGTGTTCTAGAAATGAAACGCACCTTAAACTGGCGAGAGACGTTGACGGCGATATTGAACCAGAACGTTTCTTCGGCGTCCAGCGACCGCGGCTGACCGCCCAGAGTCCAGACGACGCGAGGCGAAGAGTCGCTGTCCGGCCTGGCCAGCTGGACTTCGACTGCACCGGGCCGCGGGTAGTCTATGAAGAGCAGGAACTTGGTGCGACAGTGGTACTCGAGGTCGTCACGAAACGGGAGTGCCAAAGTCACACTGGTGGTGTGGCGAGGTGTAGATGTTTGCACGTACAACGAAGTTTGCAGGACGTGGTTGTGGGCTGCATGAAACAAAAAATAATAATAATAATAATACGGGAAATTGCAAGGAGGAAGACTTCCTTGTGCCAGCGGAGAGGGCTCATAGTCGCCTGATGATCTGCATTGATCAAGAAACTCTGAGTTGCGACAACTCTGTAAACCTCCGTTGTGCCTTTTGCGTGTAATACGGGAAACTGCGTACGTGCCCTATCAACTACAGTGCTGCCCTCTGGAATCCAGTCGCGTCTCTCAAACGCGTGCCGGGC